GGATTTCTTAGTGAACCTCATTCACTGAGATGTTTGGAGTCATCTTTCCCTGACTATAAATGTTTTGTTGCTGTTGAGGCCACCTTTCCCTGTACACCCCCAACTGCAAAAACAGCTTAATGGTTTGATCTCTCAGTACCGTTCAAATTGTTTAACAACAGTTTAAAGTTACAAATGAACTGAAATCTTAGCAACATCCAGTACTTCCTCGTTCAATCCTGAAAATGTTTCATGCTGGTATGGGTGCTACAGAAAAGATAATTATCACTCAGACAGGATTAGGACATTGTGTGGCACTAAGCATGGCTAGTCTCTGTACCCTCAATGTTGTAAAGTGGCTAGACAGACATTTGGCTAGACATGGCTGATAATGAAAAGTGGATACATATTTAGAAAAATGAAAGTGTATTTACAATGAAGTGTCACCTATGACATTTACATTCTTGCATATGGTTTTCTTTTTCCGTTCCCTCCATTACATCGAGGTGCAGTGCCAGTGCTTGCAGCTAGTGGGGAGGGAGCCTGTGCTGTAGTGATGCCAGTTAACTTTGGAATTTTGGGTAGGAAAGCCAAAGGGAGTTTGTGGCCATAGGGCACACACATGTGGGGCATATCCAGATGTGGATTCACCTTACTCAGTTTGAACTCCCACAGGGTTGAGGGTGACAGGCAGGGTGAAGGGTGAAAGGCTTGGCCACCTCTTGGCTGTCCCTAAGAGGAGTTTCTGAGGGGCCAGGATGTGATTCCTTTCCTGGTCAGGTGCCACTTGGCATCACTCCATCACATTTATGTACATAGATGTTCAATGGTAAATTCACACGTTCTTTTGGCAGTGGCAGTATCAGGCTGCAGGTCTCGACCCCAGATATTCAAGATCACATTGTGACTCACCTGAAGCAACTCCATGCACTCTTGCAAACAAGCCAAGGACCTGAGCCGTGGCAAATTTAACCTCCAAACCTGTAGGTGGCACAACTTGCCAATCCAGGAACATACACTTTCATCCTCACCACCAGAATTGTTAATTTAAGTGAAAATGCCACAGTCAATGAAAATATTGATTTTTGCTTAACATATATTTAATATATATATTTCTAATATATACATGTGAGGAAGGGGGCACCTAGAATGCAGTCAAGGCCCCTCATTCCCCCTGTCAATCTTGCTCTTGGCACTGAGACCAATAGCTAGAGTGATGGAGTGCAGCTCTTGGCATCACCATCCAAGCAGGTACAGGCCTCTCCCACCAAGGCAAGGATTCTCTCCTCATACAGGGTCAGGAGATGAATGTCAGCTTCTCCATTACCTGTCTCCATGCAGCGGATAGCAGTGGAAGGGTGTTTTTCTGACTGGAGATCTGTGACCAGAGGTGTTCCGCAGGAATCAGTGTCAGGACTCTGTTAAGTTTGTGAATGACTTTCTCCCAGGGTTGAAGTTTCAATTACAAGGGGGCACAGGTTCAAGGTCAGAGGGGGAAAGTTTAAGGGAGATGTATGATGGAAGTTTTTCACGCAGAGAGTAGTAGCAGCCTGGAATGCGCTACCAGAAGAGGTGGTGGAAGCGGGCACATTGAAGACATTTAAGAGGCACCTAGATGGGTACATGAATAGGGAGGGAATAGAGGGATACGGATCGAAAAATAGCAGATTCATTAGGGCATGATGGTCAGCACAGGTTTGGAGGGCTGAAGGGTCTGTTCCTGTGCTGTGCTTTTTCATTTGTTCATTTGGCACAAAGACTGGGAGAGTTGTGGATAGTGAGGAGGTTTACCAGAGAGGATACAGCAGGATATAGATAGGCTGGAGACTTGCACATGGAAATGGCAGATGGACTTTAATTTGGACAGATGTGAGGTGACGCTTTTTGGAAGGTCTAATGCAGGAAGGAAATATGTAGTAAATGGCAGAACACTTAAGAGCATCAACTTACAGAGGGATCTAGGCGTAAAACCCAGATCCATCATTCCCTGAAAGTTACAACACAAGTGGACAAGGTGGTCAAGAACGCGTATAGCATGTTGCCTTCATTGGTCAGGGTATAGAGCACAAAAATTGGCAAGTCATGTTGCGGTTGTATAGAACTCTAGTTCAGCCACACTTGAAATATTGTGTATAATTCTGGTCATCACACTACCAGAAGGATGCGGAGGCTTTGGAGAGGGTACAGAAAAGGTTTACCAGGATGTTGCCTGGTTTGGAGGGTATTAGTTATGAGGAGAGATTGGACAAACGTGGTTTATTTTCACATGAATGTCAGAGGGTGAGGAGTGGCCTGATAGAAGTATACAAAATTATGAGAGGCCATAGATACAATAGATAGTCGGAGTATTTTTCCCAGAGTAGCAATGTCAGTTACTAGGGGACATAGGATTAAGGTAATGGGGATAAGTTTAAAGGAAATGGGAGAGGCAAGTTTTTTTACATAGAGGGTGGTAAATGCCTGGAATGCACTGCCAGAGGAGCTGGTGAAGGTGGATACAATAGCAACATTTAAAAGGCATCTTGACAGATACATAGATAGGCAAGGAATAGAGGGATGCGGACCATGTAGATGCAAAAGGATTTTAGTTTAGAAAGGCATCATGCGTCAATGCAATCTTGATTAGCCAAAGGGTCTGTTCCTGAGCTGTATTGTCCTTTGGTCTCTGCTATATTGTGCAACGTTTTCTCCTGGAATGAGACACAGGGAGAGATTCAGTGTAATGGAAGTACTGCCACAAATGTTAGTATTGGTGCTGATGGGGGAAAGTTCGTGAGGTATCCCAAGTGAATGAGTAGACAGCGCAGAGGGCATGCAGGATTAGCAGTGTGGGTGATAGAGGGATGACAGCAAGTGAGGGAAGTTGCTGCATGCATGAGCCTTGGTGGGAGCTGTGTGCAGTGACAGAGTTAGAGTGAGTGGAAGGCAACAGAGAGATATGGTGGCATTTAGCTTATTGGAGCCCAGACCTTCCCCCTACATTGCTGGATGTTCCTGCAGATGGTGGACATTGCACCGAACCGGGTGGCACCTTCAGATGAGGGCTGGCATGATCTGATGGCCTGGTCTCCTCTAACAGTCCTGATGAAAGAGTATGGCCCTCTTCCTCACTACCTTGTCCATCAGGACCTGCAGCAAAGCAGAGGGAGCAATTTACCTCTCTTGGCCATCTCTGGGACAATTTGTAACAAACAGGCAGTGTGAAGGGCAGCTCCTGACTGATGGCGCATGACCTGGTGCAAAGGTGGAGTTTAAATATGGTGCCAGATCAGGACTCCTGGCAGATCCTGGCAACGTTGAGTATTTCTGCCTCTGGTGAGTGTATGATCGCGGAGAGAGGAGTGGGGCATACATAATAAGGCCAGCCTTTGGAAAAGTACATGAGCTTGAGCTCATGGAGAGAAACCCTACACAAAACTCCTCAAAACTGACACTTAACTGATTCTTGGTAAAGTTCAGCCCTATGTTTCCGTGAGGTTTCCACTGGGTGCTCCAGTTTCCTTCCACAGTCCAAAGATGTGCAGCTTAGGTGGATTGGCCATGCTAAATTGCTCATAGAATATGGGGATGTGCAGGTTGGGTGGATTAGCATGAGAAATGCAGGGTTACAAGGATAGGGTAGGGCGAGCAAGATGGAATGCTCTTATGAGGGTCAGTGTAGACTCAATGGGCTGAAAGGTCTCTTTCCACACTATAGAGATTCTGATATTCCATCATGCATTAGTTATAAAAAAGCAGATATAGGATTGAAACCATAATAAATGAACTCCATGGTATGACATCCTTTATTTGTTATTAAATAAACTATATTATCATTATTACAAGGCTGCAGTAAAACATTACATTTCTGAAATGACAACAGTGACTGCAGTTTAAAAGTAACTGATTAACGGTAAAGTTCTCTGGGATGTCATCAGGCTGTGAAAGGTGCTTCATTACACAGTCCAAAGGAAGTTAAGACAGAAGTGTGTATGACATGCACTGAAATCAGGCAGAGGCTAAATTGCTTCTGTAACAATCAGTAAAGCAATTTCTTATTAAAATCCTGTCCTGCATCAACTCAATGCATTGCTCTGGCTTTTAATTTAAGTAGATTTTCTTTTTGGCACATTTACAAAAAGATTTTGCTAATACTTACACAAGATAATAAAACAATTACAAACTTTTGACAAAGGTACATTTTCTCTTAAATCTTTCATCAAAGTGCTTATATTTAAGGTTAGAAAATCATTTGAATAAATAACAGGAAGAAACCACAGAAGAAGCACGCCAAACATAGGAATAGGCACCCAATTTTTACAAAAATGGATATGACTCATACCTGTAGGAAAAGATGATCTTTAACAGAGATCAATTAGCTTTTGTAAGTAACATTCATACACTTTAAAACCACAGTCTGCCTCAAATCTTATTTGACGGGATTTTGCATTGATTAGAAAGTGGTCACTTTTGAAGATGACAAGCTCTGGTTGAAGTATTGGGTGGCAAACCTGCCTCAATGTGTCCACAGACTTCAGGGAAAAGAATGAAATCTCAACAATTGTAAATGCAGCAGTGGAAGAGTCCAAGGTTGCTTCATTGCACTCAGCATAGATTAAAATAGAACATAGCTCACTTCCTGTGAAACTCACTTTATCACTCTCACAATAGAATGCTCGTAATTGAACAGGTTACTGAAAGTAGCAATCTACTGAAAGTAGGGAAGGTAACAGGAATTGCAACAACCTGTGCAATCCCCAACCAGGGCTGCAACTGCCACTCAAATATCAAGTCCATTACAGTAGGGTGCCTGGCTGGAAGGACCAATAGTTCTGAGGCATTACCTCACCCTGCTCCATTGAATATTGCAAAATCCAAAGCAGATAAACAATTGATCTAAAAGTATTGCAAATGCCAAAATATTAACACAAATCGCAGACTGTGCTCATCAGAACACAATGGAGAAGGTGCTTTCATCTTAAGAACCAAGCCTTTTGATAAAGATTGCCATTTATCACAAAATTGTTACAGTAACTTGCAGTTTAGGTTTCTGGAGATTTTTCTGTAATGCTTTGTTGATCTGCATTGAATTTAACTCTTGACGATCGTTTGGGAATGATATAATATAGAATAGGATCTAAACAACTGTTGAATGAAACCAGCCACAGTAATACAACTTTTGCCCTTTGCAATTGCTCTAGGCGCTGGCAGTCATTGTGCACAATTCGATAAATGCTTGACGTTATTTGATAGCTGTAATATGGCAAATGGCAAGCAATGAAAGTAGCTATCGCAGAAAAAATGATGAACTGTGTGCGAACTTGAAGACCCTGGTTTTGTTGAACTGTACTGCTTTTGCTCACTTTGATCAAATACATTATGATAAAGACATAAAAGACAATAAAGACCATTAAAAATAAAAAGAACACTGTTGAAATGAATAAAAACAAAATGGAAGTGGCCGGTGTGCCTTTGTAAACCTTGACACTGTAGCACATAAATTCAGATGTACTCATTTGCTTTAATATATGAATTAAAGGTATTGATACAATCAGGATTCCCAGAGTCCAGGACACAATACAAATGTATTTTGCAAAGGTTGCATCATTAAATGCATTCAATTTGTTATTGTGGTACCTCACAATCATTACATACCTGCTAATGCTTATGAAGATAATGCAGAATGTCCTGCATGCCAGTGTAGAATAAAAACCCAAGTTAATGATTGCTGTTACAACCATACATGTCCCAGAGTTTTCTTCGAAGACATCGCCTGTAATAAGCAGAGCTAATCTGAATGGAAGGACCAGGCAATTAATCAGATCAGCCACTGACAGGTTCACCAGATAGACAAGGATTCCATGTTTCTTCAAAGACTGCCTTGTAAATATCAACAAGGCTAGGAAATTGGCTGGCAATCCAATGAAAATTATGAAAGAATACAGAACAGGAAGCACAGTCTTCTCCAGTGGACCAGCTGTATAATTACATGTCAGATTCTGCCTTTTCAAGATGTGATTCATGTTTTGCAGCAGCTGTCTGTGTCCTGAAATTAAAATAATAAATTTCAATCCAGGAAGTAAAAATTCAAATAGTGATACAGTGCATGGTGCTGGGGGGGGGAGGCAATGGCCTAGTGGTATTATCACTGGACTGTTATGCCAGAGACTCAGGTAATGTTCTGGGAGCCTGGGTTCAAATCCCACCATGGCAGATGGTGGAATTTGAGTACAATAAAATAACTGGAATTAGGAATCTAATGGTGACCATGAATCCATTGTCAATTGTCAGAAAAACCCACCTGGTTCACTAATGTCCTTTAGGGAAGGAAACTGCCATCCTTACCTGGTACGGCCTACGTGTGACACCAGGCCCACAGCAATATGGTTGACTCTGAACTACCCTCTGGGCAATTATGGATGGACAATAAATGCTGGCCTAGCCAAATGACACCTTCATCCAATGAATGAATAAAAAAAGAGTTTCAGAGTGTTGTGCTTGGAATGGAATAATTCACATAAGTCACTCAATTCAGTTCATGCATGTTACAGAGATCCTGAACAAAAATATTAGTTGATCTCTTACATTTCAAAACATCTCCAGCTGCTACTGTACTTTTCTACCAGACTATTACTAAAATATCAGATTTCAACCTCTTCTCCCTACAGCCTGGTGATCTAGTTTTGCACTAAGCTGGTGGAATCAGAGCCGGTCCCATCAGATCAGAACCTCGTTTCTGTGCTCAAGCCTTTAGAGAAGTCAGACTTTAACCAACAAACCTTCTGATTTAGAGGTAATAGCAATATCCACTGAGCCAACTCTGATAACCATGATGTGGACGTGCTAGTGTTGGACTGGGGTAGACAAAGTCGGAAGTCACATGACACCACTTAATAGAGACAAGCTTTTGGAATGCTGCTCCTTCGTCAGGTGACATGGAGAAAGACGAGCAGGCACAGAATATATGGGCAGAGAGATGGCAAAATAATTCCAGGTAATTTTTTAATAGAATCCCCACAGTGTGGAAACAGGCCGTTTGGCCCAACAAGTTCACACCGACCCTCCAAAGAGCATCCCACCCAGACCCATCCCCCTACCCTATCCCTGTAACCCAGTATTTCCCATGGCTAATGCATCTAACCTACACATCCCTGAACACCATGGGCAATTTAACATGGCCAATCCACCTGACTTGCACATCTTTGAACTTTGGACAAATTAATTTGTACATTCTTAATTACCTGGAATTATCTTATCATTTTCACTCTGCCTATAATATTCTGGGCCTGTGTGCCTTTCTCCACTTCACTTGACAAAGGAGCAGCAGTCAGAAAGCTTGTGATTTTAGGTAAACCCATTGGACTGTAACCTGGTGTCGTGTGAAGTCTGACAACCATGGTAACATTTGGTATCAAATATGGCATGGTGGCTCAGTGGTTAGCATTGCTACCTCACAGCGCCAGGGACCCGGGTTCAATTCCACCCTTGGGCAACTGTGTGGAGTTTGCATGTTCTCTGCTTGGCTGCGTGGGTTTCCTCCCACAGTCCAAAGATATGCAGGCTATGTAGACTGGCCATGCTAAATTGCCTGTAGTGTTCAGGGATGTGTAGATTAGGTGGGTTATAGGGGGATGGGTCTGGGTGGGATGCTCTGAGGGTTGGTGTGGACCTGTTGGGCTGAAGGGCTTGTTTCCAAACTGTACAGATTCTATGATGTGTTAATTGGAGCCATTTATACATATATGGTAAATAATTTTATGTCAACCTAAAGGTTTTCTAACCTAATCTTCATTTAAAATTTAAAATTTAGAATTTAATCTTCATGTGGACTAAAGCCAAAGGGTATATGAACTGTTAGTGCACATTTGCTGATAGCCAATTTCCACAGAAGGCAAAGACAACTGCGCAGCATATAGATAATACTGGAGAAAACTAAAACACAGCAAAAATATAACAAATGCAGGAAATCTAAAATAATGCTCGAGATGCTCAGCAGGTCTGACAGCATCTGTGGGGAGAGAGTGAGAAACAGACAACGTTAATATTTTAGGTAAGAGGCTTTCGTCTGAGCTGGAGAAAATTGTTGGAGCTTTTAAGCAAATGTAGGGGGAGAAGAGGGAGTAGAGAAAAAAGAAGGGGGAGGTCTGTGTAGAAGGCAGCAGTAATTAAGTAACAAAAGAATGATTGTGCAAGGCAAAAGGAGATAGTGATGGCACAAATGATGAAACAAAAGATGAATCTAGAGGAAGTATAAACGGAAAGAGCAGAAACAAGCCCAATGACTGATATCTGTAAAAGACGGGGAAAGAAGGAGGTTATGATCTGAAATTATTCAGCTGAATGTCACATCTGGAAAAGTGTAAAATAGATAATCGAGCCATAAGGGACTGTTCCTCTGGCCTAGGTTATTCCTCTATGGAATAGTGGAGGAGGCCAAGGACAGAGAGGTCAGAGTGATAGTCACACTGAGAATTTAAATGACAGGCAATCAGGAACTTATGCTCACGTTTACACGCTAAGCAGAGATGTTTAGTTAAGTGATCACTCCTCTGTCTTTGGTCCTCCTAAAGAAACATGTGAAGCTCTTTTAAGCCAGGTACGGATAACATTCATCCAAATGTCTGAAAAAGAAAGAGGGATTAAAACAGATCATTAGATTCACAGAAGGTTCCCAAGGACTGGAAAGTGATTACCGTAAGGTTAAGGCATATTTTGTGCCCATGTACAAGTCAATTAATCATCAGCTACAGGGAAACATTTTAGAAATTGTGTTCAGGGATCTAGTTGGGAAAACCTGGGGAAGTCATAATTTAATAAAAGCCAGTCATTGCAGATTCAGAAAATGGAGGTTATATTTAATTAATTTGATTCAATGCTGAATAGGGACATGTAGTTATCATTTTCAAAAAGTAATTGGAGATTAAGAATTGAGGTTAAGTGATGATAGCAGAGAAAATGAACTAACAGAAGCTGTGAAGACAGCAGAGTGGTATCCCATTGATTCATTTTAGGACATCAGAAGCTGCGGCTTCTTGGCTCAAATGAACTTTTCTGTTCCTAAAGTCTATTTCTAATTTACATAGTTTTTAGCAGCTGTTTCACTTCCATACATTATTTCTACTATTTTTCCTGTAGCCACTTCAGCCTGAGGTCAGTTTTCCTAAAAATCCGTTGTAACGTGGTTCTCATGGTGCCAAACTCTGACACCCAGGTTTATCCTCTTGCGCTTTGTTAAGGACTGGCAGAGTACCTGTAGCCATTTGATAGATAGCATTCAAAATCAACAATGAATGGAAAGAATATATTTTAAAACCTTGCATTAAGGTGCTAATCAAACTCACATCGAGCATACCCTTTTTTTCAAGGTGATTAAGTATTTGCTACAACTCCTAATCCTGGATATGTCAATGGCGACTGGACAATATACAAAGGCAAAACATGACTGCTTCTCTGATTTCACCATTAAGCTTCCAAGTGCATGAAAACAGGATTTATGAACATCTGAATTGGGATCAGGAGTAAGCTAATCAGCCTCTTGAGCCCAATCCTCCAATAAGACCATGGCTAATCTGATTACTCCATATTCCCACCTAGCCCAATAACCTTTCACCCTGCTGGTCAAACAAATTTCAAAGTCTCTGATTCCACCTCATTTTGAAGAAGAGAGTTCCAAAGACTCACGAACCTCTGAGAAAATGTTACTTTTTAAAACTGTGACCCTAGTTCTAGATTCTCCCACAATAAGTAACATTTTTTTAACATGCATGTTGTCGAGACTCCTCAGGATCTCACACATTTTAATCAACCTACCCCTCACCTCAACCTATCCAGCAGATACAAGCCATTAGATAGATAACATTCAAAATCAACAATGAATGGAAGCAATACAAGCATACAAGAATACAAGCAGAGCCTGTTCAACTTTTCTTCATAAGATAACTCAATTCATTCCTGGTATTAGTCTTTTAAACATTTTCTGAATTTGTTCCAAAGCATTTGTATCCTCCCCTTAATATGGAGATTAATACTGTAGACAATCCTCGAGATGCGGTCTTACTAAGGTTCTTTAGGGAAAGAAATCTGCTGACCTGATCTAACCTGACCCCCATCTGACTCCTGACTCATACTAATGTCCCTGATGCTAAATGTCCTCTGAGCAATTGGGAATGGGCAAAAAGCATTGGCCTAGCTATGGCTCCCCACACCTGATTAAAGAACAAATTGTAAAAAAAAATTGCCTTCCAATAAAAAGTCAAGTGGGGGATAAGGTACCAAAATGCATGACTGATTTTTAAATAAAATTCCAGATATACATGAAATCATTGAACGTTAACAAGATTGCAAAAAGAATAAACACATCCATGCTCCTTTTTAAAAAAAATTAATTGCGACGAAGGAATATTATTAATTATAAATAATTTTGTCCCTTTCACTGTTGTGACAGAGTTGAGAAAATTTGATTCTCTGCCTAGCTGAACTACAGCTGACCTGAGAGCATGATGATGGCCCCAGATGTAATAAGTAGATGTGTAGGATGGTGCTCCATTTCTCAGAACTGAAAGCCATATCAAAAAGTAGACAATTTCCACAAATTGCACTTTAAAAACAAGGACTTGAAACGCAAATTCAATTTTATCATAGTGAGCTCTAGAAAAAAATTTACAGAACATTAAATGTTAGAAGTCAAGGGAAAAAAAGTCAAATTAAGGGGACGTATTGAATCTGGAGCATCAAAGCCTTATTCCAAGTTCCAAAATGATTGGAAGTGATAGTGACAATGCTATATTTTATTCTGTGTAAGTACTACAAACTAATGTCTGAGCAGTAGTTTCAAAGTTCAACTGCATTACCATCACACCCTGAGAAGTACATTCTCAGAATAATTATTTCCTGGTCATGTCCCAGCTATTGTAGCATCTGTAACATGTAACACAGCTGCCACTTCTGTGCTCAGGGAATCACCTCTTACAACTTCTTCACACAGTATAACCGATGGAGACCAATTCAACTCAACTATTATCTTGCTATTATTTGAGCAGCCCAATTACAAATGTTGTTAATGAACCATCTGCCTGCCCAAGCCAGGTCAAAATCTCAAAATCGCTGGCTTCCCGTGCTCTGACACCTATCAGCTTGTAAACACTCCAATGCTGGTGCTTGGCTGTGGTATCCAGTTATTCTGTCGTGGTTCTAACACATCAGGGTTTCTAAGATCTTGTAAAGGCGTTCATCATCTATTTCCCACACAGCACGTTGTCTAATTTCACACTCAATTAGATTGCTGAAGATTACATTTTTGACTATTTGGTTTCTCTCACACATCCCAGGCCTATAAATATTTGACAGATAAAGGTTTAAACCATAGTTTGACTTATCACCCCTCAGCTGTTTTTACCCATGGTGAATTACAAGAGTGTAGGCCTGGTTTCAAGTCCCACTTGCTCCAGAGCTGTGTCAAAATATGTCTGAACAGGTTGATTAAAAAAGATATAAAATTCAGTACAATAATAAAATTAAAGACATATACAGGTAGTTTGATTTTGTAAATTAGCAAGCAAATCCATGTGGAGATTTCTCAGGATTCCTTATTAAAGTGGGCAGGGGGCTTTCAAGGAGAAATTCATCTCTTTGCAGAAATAGACTGTATCCAAAGTTTTGTTTACTTCCTCTCAATTATAGAAACCCCTAATTTCAACTTTCAAATGTGGCAGTGTCTGCTCAGCTTCAGTTAAGCATAAGCTCCATTGAGTGTGCAGTTAAGCAGCACGTACAAACATTACTGCCAACACATGATGGTGATTTCAGTTAGCTGATCCGAAAAATCTCAGTTTCAGCTACTTCCCTATTCATAGCCAGTGAAGCTGAAATGATCTGGATGGTCCCTGCTCTACAGTACATCCTAATGGATCTTACAGCTGACATTAGTTTTGTGTCCTGGGGCAGCAAACTCAGTGATATAGAAAACACAAGTTAGGTCTTGCTAAAGTGTGAAATGAAGAAAATCTTTACAATAGGAATATCTGTCTTCTTCCAAACAATAAGAGTCTTCCCCTAATTTACATCTTGCTTTACCCAGGCAAAGGAGTAGTTTACAATGAATGTAGCCTATCAATATTACTTTGTTCTTTTATGATAACTTTTCTAGCTGATTTCTACTACTGACAGTCCTTAAAGTTTTTGTAAGTAATGTAAGCAACCTAAACTCTTCAAATAAGTCATGCTCAATTAGACCGAATGATAAATAGCCACATTCCTAATTGAATGAAAAAAGCACCCAAACTGAGAACGTCAGCATAATATAAATAATTAAGAAATTGTTAAGACTCAGTTGTCATGCACTTCTAACTAATTACAGAAGCTGTACTATTCATTGGAAAGTTCAAAATACAGAACAACCAAGAACAGAATAAAGCATACCTGCGTGAAGATCAAAACTCAGGATAAATCACTTTAGGGTCAAAACCTTTTAGCTGCACAGGCAACACCACAAAATAACATCAGCTCTGAGCACGGGTAAAATTCACCCACTTCGCATCAAACCAAACTCTCAATGGCGAGTCAAATGATTGACGTAGGTGGAAAACTATACACGTTATACAAAACAAACTGATATGCACACGTTTAGCTGAAGCCAGACAATCCTGCACTTTTCCAACTTGAATTGTCCAGTAATTACTTTTCCACTGAAAGGAAATATTTCTTCTCAGAATTTTAGAGTGAAGCTTTGGCATTCTTAATCTTTGAAAAATAAGCAACTAAACAAAATCGACACTGTGAAACTGGATCTACTTAGGGTTCAGAGAAAGAATTTGCATTTTTTATAGTTATTTATATAAGGCATTTCTGAATTAACAAGAAACATCTTTTAATTCTGAGAACAGTTTTCATCTCTGTCCGTTTTCAAAATTAGTGTTTATATTATAAGTTCAAAATGCATAAAGTCAAGTGAACCATCAGGGAAAACTTTCTCATGCTGATCATTAGGAGTTTTTTTACAAATCAGTCAACTTACAAAGAATGCAACAGTTTCATATCAGCCTACTTTATGGTACCTTTATGGTAATTAAGGAATGTGTGCCACTGAATCCAGCTATGATAATAATACATTAGGAGACATGCAAATAGAAACGAAACTTCTTTGCAATACTCTTTGAGAAACAAAATTATAATCAATTTACTTTTAAGATATAAATGATGAAATTTGAAAGGGAATTCACTTGCCAGAGATTTATACCATATGTCACAACACTCAACTCTCCTCAATCATTTTTATTACTTCTAAAATGTTATTTGATTCCTTGACATAGTTTGACCTCCATGTAAAAGCCCAAGGAACATAAATATCCTGTATTTAGAACTTCGATCAAAACCCAAGTGTACAGCAAGAACTGACATGACCATTTTCAGTGTTTCATGGCATTTTCTTCATTTTTGTTTCTTTTTAAACTTTTGCAAGACCTAGCTAGTGTTTTTTTTAATATCACTGAGTTACAAAGACTGGAAAGGTTGAGGCATTAGAAGATTTGAAGCCAAGAAGAAGAACTTTAAAAAGTTCTGAGGAAGGGTCACCAGACCCAAAACGTTAACTCTGATTTTTCCTTCACAGATGCTGCCAGACCTGTTGAGCTTTTCCAGGAACTTCTGTTTTTGTTCAAAATCAAGGTTCTGCCAAACCAATACAGGTCAGGGAACATAGGGGTGATGATGGAGATTTGATGTGAGCCAGGTTACAGGCAATGACAAATAAGGAGATATGGATGTGTCTGATGACATAACATTGGCACCAGCAGTCATTGGACTGGACTCTGAGATAAGACCCAGGAACAGCCTGCACCAGAGAGTGGTGTTCCACCTCACATTACTGGATGTATTATATTGTAAATAAAAAGAGTTTTGCAGAAAAGTCAGACTGGAGTCATTCTTAGATAGAGACAATTACAGTAAGAGATGTCCAAAAAGGATTTAAAAGTGGAACCAAACCATAAACCAGGTAACAAGAGTTTTAAATGAGTTAAATTTGAAGAATAGGAGTCCTGCCAGGAAAAAATTGGAGTAATCGAGTCAGTATCAAAGGGCCTGGATGAGGATTTTGCAGCAAATGAGTTGAGAGCTCACCACAGTTGTAACATTGCATCTGGGGAGGCAACAGCGTAGTGATATTATCACTGGACTATTAATCTAGAGACCAGGTAATGTTCTGGGGATGTGGGTTCAAATCCCATCACTACAGATGATGGAATTTGAATTCAGTGAAAATCTCGAATACAGTCTAAAAATAACCATTAGTTGATTGTTGGGGAAAAACCCATCTGGTTCACTTCTTTAGAGAAGGAAACTGCTGGTCTGACCTACAGAAATTGGCATAAGGTTCAGCGTCATTTCTTCATCAAGTGTGATCCAGGAAATGCTGAGCCAGTGAATCAAAATGATTTTTGTTCTTCAGGGACAGTGGTCATGAAAACAGGGACTTCTGTAAAATCCATCTGGCTACAAGTAACATGTCTCCCCAGTTAAAGTTCATAGCCTCCACCCAGAAAATAAGAAGACAATTCCATGATGTCAAGACAACCAGAACAAACACTTGAAAAAGGAGATCTGATCCTGATATGACATTATTAGTGAATATGTCGATTGAGAGGGGGAAGAGGAGTTGGAGAAAGAGGGCATTATATAGCCAGACAGTGCAGTCATGACTGGCAGATTACCTACGAATCTCAGGAAAAATAAAAAAGATACAAAATAAAGCATATGGCCTTTGTGCAGTCATTTGGGCAGGTACAAAGGTAAAAGTGGATACTGCCCAGCATAAGGGAAAATAAACAAGTATCCAGCTTAGAGTCCTTTGGATTTCCTTAGAAAATCTTAACCTGAAACCATGATTGGGTAGTAAACTTTATGGAAGTCATCAGCTGTAGTGCATCTTGCTGTTATCTTTTGAATTCTCAGTTCTCTGATGCTTCCTCCCACTGAGTGCTGTCAAATTAGTCACTTTTTCATATGTCAGCGAGGGAGTGTATGAAAGTGTGTGAGAGAAAGTGAGAACAAAGGGAGCAAGAGAGAATGAAAGAATGAACAAGAGTGTATTTTGTTTGTATATTCTGTGGTTGCTGAAGTTATGTTCTTATGTTTTATAAGCACAGGCGATGTTTCAGCTTCAACGTGTGCAAGTTGCCATAATGGTGTTAATGATATAGGAGGTTAGGACCATTTGGGTTTCATTGCCCTTGGGAAATGTTAATTTCAGCCTACGCTTTTGGTTGTGTCAATGTCGGTTTCATGAAAGTTGTCAACTTGTGCAGATCAGGATATCAATTTAAATCAGTGTTTTGGTCAGTGTTTGAACAATTTCAGTCCAAGCAAGTCCCAGGCATTAAATCAGTTGATGGGATTCAAATACCATTTCATATTTTATTCTATTTTATGTCATCATTACAATAATAGTACAATTTTGAAAACAAAACGTTCTCTTTCAAAGAGTTGTGTGAAAGTGGTTATTAACTCTATCATCTGAAATTTGTCTTTCCCTTCCTGCCCTGATGGTGAAAATGTAGCCCAGGCCTTGTAATTAATTGTAATGGAACTGAATTGTCTGTGTAATGTAATTATCATAGCATTCTCGTACTGTCCTCAGTCTACTGAACAGCAGAAAATTGGTTCTGGACCATCTTCTTGTTCCATTGATTCTCTCTGTTTCAACTTTTGGAGCATCAGTCTTGGCAATTTAGGAACTGAAAGAACTGCGGATGCTGTAAATCAGGAACAAAAACAGAAGTTGCTGGAAAAGCTCAGCAGGTCTGGCAGCATCTGTGAAGAAGAAAATCAGTGTTAACGTTTCAGGTCCAGTGGCCCTTCCTCAGAACCATTCTGAGGAAGGGTCACTGGACCCGAAATGTTACCTCTGATTTTTTTCTTCACAGATGCTGCCAGACCTGCTGAGCTTTTCCAGCAACTTCTGTTTTTGTTGGCAATTTAGGATTCTCATGTGACAGCATCCAATCCACTCAGAATGACCACACAAGAAAGTGATATGGATTGAACACCAAATGTGAGAAGCAGTGACCTTTTTATCTCCTCGCAGCATCGATCATCTGTCTCTGTCTTCAGCCACTTCAAAGAACTTCGACAATTTGCCTCTATCCCTGGCTACTCCAGATCTGACGCCTGCGTTTTACTGATTGTTTCATTTGTAAAGTGCTCTTCACCTAAATAATATTTCCTCACAAATTTATTTATCTGTGATCATTTCAAAAAAAAAACTTGATATCGGAGATAGAGGTGGAGTGAGTAAGGAACAGCAAAAAGATTATAAAATACTTACGATGAGGAAGTATTTTCAGATTTTATGATTTATCTTTCCAGAACAACCTTAAGTTCTCCACATTACTACATCTATTCTTTAAAAACATCCTGTGATAATTAATTGCATTACTTTTCATGCATCTGAAGTAAGAGTAGAAGCTCCATAGTTTCCTATAGCTATTTTGTCCCACCACTGGGTATCAATTAATCTGTTCTCAATGTATTGATACCTCTCCACGATCTTTGTAATGATTGTCAGTGTCTTGTAAATCTCCAAACTCATCATAGAGGAAATTATCACTCAGAATATTCACCATCTTGTGATTGTCCTCCTTTTCAGGGTTTCGGGGAGGTAAGGAGTATCAGTGTTGGATCACTAATTAATGCCTATTAATCCTCATCACATCATTGCTGAAAACACCAAGGAATGAACAAGCAATCACCACAGAGGAAGCCCAAAAGGTAAACCTGATTTGGGTTGCTTCAGAGCTCCCAGGGGTCAGACGGTCCCTCCTTCAAAGGCAGAACCTGATTGATGGAGGGAGTATCAAGAAAGTGGACAGGTTAGAGGCCATTCTTCCAACATCTCCTCTGTCCCTAACCAAAGACTCCTGCTCTCACACACTCCCTCATCTCACTGTCATTCTATGGCCTAGTTCCCTTGACGATCCTACGCCTCTGGTGTGTCCAAAACCAGCAGCTGAAACTATTCTCAGTAATAGAGAGCTGCCAGACTGTGGCTAGAAACATTTGGGAGAAATTTTTCCATCTTTGGTGTCCTAAATTCCAAGGAAGGCCTTTTAGCAGGTCTCCCTCAACAGAAACAAGACACCAGCTCTCTAGCTGGTGGGTACAATTCTTGTTGCCTGGATTAAATTCCATTCTGTGAGTTCTTTTCCTCAGTTCTGGATCTGAACAGTTGGCATCCTCCCTCCCCTTTTCTGAAGAAGGGTCCCGACCCGAAATGCCAACTTTCCTGCTCCTCTGATGCTGCCTGGCCTGCTGTGTTCCTCCAGCTCCACACTGTGTTATCTCCAAAGTTGGCTTTGTTAGGTTCAGGTTGCGACAGTGGATAGGGAAGGGTAAGTGGTGACAAGGGTACAGCTCTTGTAGAAAGGGCTGAAATGTTCCCAAAGTTTAATAGAAAATGTTACAGCTCACCTTAGATTGAATGTCAATCTGGCTGTCTAACAATAAAGAGAC